GATAGGATAGGTAAAGCAATTTCACAATTCATTTGACTTTCAGTTTCAGTTCTCATCAAGCCAATTAGGTTGGGTACCTACCTACTTACCAGCACCTCCATAATCGCTCCCTAAAATGCCCCCTGCCACGAACCTCTTATGAAGAGTTTATAGAAGTGCAGGCTGCAGATTTCCGGCCCATGCAGAGTTTTCATTTCTTTGGCAATTCCTTAACTCCACTTGGAGCTCACAACCTTCTATTACCACACCATCACAAAATATAATGTGAAAGTCCTTATACACTTTGCTTACACTGCACAAGACACACATCCACAGCACAGTACAGCAACTGAAGCGAGCTGTTCACTGTTACAATTATCTTTCAAATTCAACTGACACCGATAGCTGGTTACCACGCAACGCGCTAGCAAATGGCGTCAGCTTGTCCCACGAATGGCGGTTGCTATGGAAACCAGCTGACGAAACTTTACCAGAACCCATTTTCGAACAGGAGTTTTGTTTTAACTGATAGGCGCCCCAAGAATTTCTGCGCCGTTTTTCGAAACATGCCCACCACTTTCGCAGTTTTTCATCCTACATTTTACCTACACGGTGTCTCATGAGACACAATGTTAATCCAATGGGAACTGTCTCGTGGGTGTCTCATGGAGGAGATTTGTAGGAACTGTTTTTGAAGACACGTAAAGAAATGTAATGACCAAATGCCGTTGACAGCTGATTGTACCGACCAATTGCTACCAGTTAGCTGTTTTTATAGTCATTTTTGTACCGAAAACACAAACTGAAATCTGTCTCGCGGCTACCCTCTTCGGCTCTTTCCTGTCTCCTACATTGTAGGCAAGTAGGAAGGTTTGTGCACCTCTGCGGAAATGCCTGAACATGACGTCACTCTGACGTCATTTACGGCCAACCTATCATAGGCTGTGGAAAAAAAGGTCACAATATGTAAAATCAATTTACAAGAGGGTACTGAAATTTTCGCGACGATCGGCGCATTTGTTTGAGAGATAATGCGAAACGACTGGAAGTGGGGGGGGGCAAAAATACCCCCCACCAGGGTGCGGGCTAAAAAGTTTCCACTGGGTACCCTAAGGTAAAGGTAATCTCAAGATTGTGGATACGCCGCTGGATGTTCTCGTCGATATTAGACTAAGAACAGTGTAAAAACGGGCGACAAAATATGAAAATGAAACAGAAAATTGATTGATTTTCACATCAGGTTTGACTGCTTGAAGAATATTTGAACACTGTAAAAAAAGTTTAGCACCATAGAGGTACTTTTCAATTGACTAATTTTCAGTACCCTAGCGGTGCTAAGCTAAGCATTTTATTCGTACTTAACTGAGATCTAGTTTAGTATCAAGGTGCTAATATAAGTACCCATATTTGTTTAGCACCCGTGTACTAAATGTAGTACCCTACACCTGCTAGACCAATTTTCAGTACCCTAGCGGTGCTAAACTTTAAAAGGTGCTAAGAATAGCATGCAGTTAGTACCTTCCGTACTCACATATGAACCGTTTTAGCGCTATTGTTACCCTACGACAAGTAGAATAATGCTAACGAAAGCATTGGGTCTGAAAGTAGAATATCTATACTAGTTAAAGCTGCTGCATGAAAAGTTCGCAAAAACTGCTTTCTTGAGCTGCACATACTTTTACTAGTTACTGCAAAAAGGACTAATCAATTACCAAAAAGGAAATTGTGTAAGGCCGAAAAGACGTGCAAAAAAGGGTATATCCTAGATAAGTGATAACTACAAGTCTCAATGATTGTGTTTTGCATTCTGCAATATTCCCGTGTAAGTGCATCTTTCAAGCATCCAACACATTATAAAATTAAAAAATAATAATGGAACATTTATTAACACTTCATATCATCTGCATGAAAAACAAATGTAAATATATACACAAACAAACGCACGGGAAATAACGAAAGGTCGCTCATATACCTGCACACTCGCAGTGACCGACGATTAACGCGAGATCGACTGGGGGAGGCGGGGGGGGGGGGTCGTTGAACCGACGTTCCGTTCATGGCCATAAGTTCGACCTCATCCACGACCAGACGGCGTTTAGTGATAGACGGAACCGGAGACCCCGTGTTGTTGTCGTAGTTGTCCTCCATTGTAAGTGGTAGTCGACGGAAGAACTGACCAGGCCTCATGCCTGGAGCAAAAAAAAAACTGGATCAGTTCCAAGATTTTTTTCTGTTAGGAGCTATTTTCGCAAACAACACAACTTTCCTTCAGACCAAGAAGCGCGATTTGCCAAAGACGGAATATGAAGCACTTAAACAATATAAGATAATGTCAAAAGATACAACGTGTCAGACTCACCAAAGTCGATCAACGTCGGTGTCGGTGGCATGTGTCGGTGGCAAATGCTCATGTACCACCCGGTCCCGGAGCACTTCACTTCACTTCACTTCACTGCACTGCTGCACTGCACTTCCCTCCACCTCACTGCCTCCCGGAGCAGGGGCACGCACTCCCATGCCACGCACGACGGATTCCACCGATAATAGCTGATTTAAGCTATCATTCCAGAGCTATCACTCGGTGGCATGTGCCCGGAGCACTTCACTTCACTTCATTTCACTTCATATACCGGAGCACGTGCACACACTCCACCAACGGACTCCACTAAAATGGCGCAACACGTGGCCGGAAACAGCTGGCACGCGCATGCGCATATCGCTCTGCGCCGTCAAAACGTGCTAAAGGGCTGGTGATAAGACTCCCAGAGATTTGTAAAGCAGGGCTTAGCTACTTTCTTTGGCGCCAATTTCAAATTTGTTTCCTCTGTAAGCATGTCCGGTTCTATTGTGATACTAACTTAAGCACCATATTCAGCATTACCAACTTCTAAAACACTTAAAATGGTTCTAATTAGAAATCCAGCTTGAAAGAGCACTCACTGATGGACTGGGTACTAGCAGAAGTAGACGTTAAGCTCAGTAGAAGAATAGGTGATCTAAACTTATAATATTTGATGGGAATGTTAGCTATCATTAGCACAGTATTAGCACCATGCTTCTTTGTAAATACGTCTTAGGGTTCTTTTGACGCTAAAAGGTGCTACGAATAGCAGCCGTTAGTACCCCAAATGCTAAACTTTTTTACAGTGAAGTGCCTCATATTTACTCCTACAGGGTGGGCAAAATCTCGTCACTGCAGAGGCAACTGGCAGCCACTACGGGACATTTGCCCCCTTGCAGTAGCGCGGAACACCTTCAATTAAAGGGGCATTTCTGACTTTGAGCTCCATTCTTTCCATGCAAAGCCCATAGGGCTTATGTTAAAATGCCGAAATCAAGGGGACACGGTTCCCCAGTGCCCCCCCCCCCGTTCCGCCCCTTATGCCCTCCCCCCAGTTAACCCGCGCGGGGCTGGGGGGGTAATTCAGTACCTTTTTTTACATCAATTTGACACGTTCCCTGAAAATTTGAGCGAAATCCGTCGGAAACTTTTTGAGAAATTGACGTTTTAGTGACGTCATGTTCGCCATTTTCGCCTCAAAAACGGCAAAATTTCAAACGCCGCTAACATCTTCATTTTTAAAGGAATCAAGACGTAACAAAAAAATATACGTAATTCTACTTTGTCTATCAAATGGCTATCTCAGTTTTTTGACAATTTTGGATTTTGACCCATTTTTTCAAAAAACTGACTTTTTTGGGAAAATGGTTATAAAATCCAAAATTCTGAGTGTATCGTAAAAACCGGAATATATGTCAAATAAGTGGTCTATGTGCACCTATGTACATACCAATTTTTAGAAGAGTCGGTTCAAAAATGTGGGCGTTATTCAAAATTTTATGACGTCACGACACACTAGTGATGTCAATTACGGAAAATCGGAATACCGATACCAAACCAAATACCAACCAAAACCACGGGAAAATACCGAAACCAAACCAACTTGGGAAAATGAGGGAAATACCAACTTTTTACCGATTTCTTAGCCTCTTATACTTAAGTGAGGGTTTACGATACCAACAAAATACCAAACACATTACGATTGAAATACCAAATACCAAGTTGGTATCGGTTTGGTATCGGTATACCAAAACGTTGGTATCCGATTGACATCTCTACGACACACACAAATTTTGAAAAATGATTTTTTTTTAAGTTCTAGACCTCGTACGGAAGCAAAAATAGCTTCATTCGATTCGCCGTGAAAAACTGCATCAGATAGACATCTTTTTAGGCCTTAACAACCAACTTAAAAATTTGACCTCACTTGACCTGACCTTGACCTGACCTCGACCTAAAATTCATCCAAAGGTGGTCCATATCACTTATTGAGTGTGCCTATTGAATTCTATGAGTAAAATGACCCATAAAACATGTGTCGCACATCCTTTTCTATATTTTGTTTTTGGTGACCTGACCTGACCTGACCTTGACCTCTGAATGATATTGTATGCAACGAATATTGTCTTGGTAGCCTAAGAACACGTTTTGGGCAATCAGTCTCAGTCCATGACTCCATTCTTCGGCAACTACGGTGCAAGGCCGATACTGTAGGAACTTGCAATTTGTACCCTTGACCTGACCTTGACGTTGACCTCAAACTTTAAATTAAGTACATGTTTTTAGTTGTTCGTGATGAGATCTTTCGATTGGCGTTCGAATTTTCCAAATCGGACCATTAGTTCGGGAGATGACAGGGGGGGGGGTAAAATTTACCCCCCCCCCCAGCCACGCGCGTTCGGCTGGAGACCCCAGCCCCGCGCGGGTTAATGCATGTTAGCAGAGGCCAGACACGCCAACATACAGTCCACAGGCAAATGAAGCACAGACATCCAAACACATCAAGACGGGTACCTAGCACACAGAGAAGACACACAAAGACTCACAGAATCACATACACACCGTTACATAAACACCTATGGTCTGACAATAGACACAGACGCACAAAACATACTCAACAACAGACACAGGGACACACAGATCCCCCCCCCCCCCACACACACAGGTCGGTCCTGCTCACCTGATATTCGCCGCCTCCGCCGTGGTCGGCTCCGGTGGACAGAGCTCAGTACCGTCCACACACTGTTGGACCACCCGCTCTGTCCACTGACCCGGCCGGTGGACGCAGTGCAGCTCGTGCGGCTCCCGCTCCTCCGTCGGCCTTTGTTCCCAGTCTGGAACTGCGTCGAACATCAACACCCCGAGTCGGTGTGTCGGCAGAATCGATCGTGTTCAGTGAGCCGGCGGCGCGGTGTCCTGGCCTGATGACGTCAGTGGGGGGTCACCAGGGTTACAGGGACAACACGGGCCGCCGGTCGATGTGCAGTCCCCCCACCCCTTCCCTTCCCCAGTACCCGGGACAACTCTGCAACTCGGCAAAACAAAACTTAGTGACGCGTTAGGCGGCACGGGCGGACATCGATAGCAGCGCCTCTATCGGTCACTAGGGAAAGCTGGGCTGTAGGCGACAAAATACCGGCTGAGTTGTTACACGTTGAATAGGTTTATAGACATCAGTCTTGTGAAAAAGTTGAACTTTTGCCTTCAATTTTTCTACAGGCAATTTTAGAAGTGTCTTCACATGGATTACAAAACCGTTTAGATTATTATATTCACTTCTACCCTTCCCTATTGTTCTTGACGATGATGCAGGAACTATTTCTAATTAGTGTTTCTAGCTTAGTAAAAGAATATATTTTGCAAACGATGTAAAAAGCATAAATGGAAGATTTGAAATGCAATTTTATCTAACAATTAATGGTAAATTATCTACACATCAAGGAAAAGGTGCATGCTAACTGATAATTTAAAGTTCTTGAGGCCAGTTGTTTTCTTCTTTTCTTACGTCGCCCCAATGGCCGCGAATACACTTGTGATAACGCCTATCGGACTGACGAGCAGGCATGAACGGTTGAAAAACAAAACCGATGATAGGCGTAAATGGGTAATGGTGAGCGGTGGCGCAAAAGGGCCGCTCGATTTACATAGGCCGTGAACAAAGGGTAGCCGCCGCCGCCGCCGCCGCGGAGTCGCGGTGTCGCGGCCTGCAGCCGGCAGCGGCCCCTCCCCGTGGGAGCAGCGGAGGAGGGTGCGTGCCGCGGGGAGGGGAGCCGGCGGCGGGGGAGGGCGCCGGCACCTGCCGACCACCTGGTGCCCCGCGGCGCCCCGGCGCCCTCCAGCCAGGCGTGACCGCGCCGCCGGCGCCCTCCCCGCCATTGACCCGACATAGACCCACCGCCGCCGCTGCGCCGCGACCGCCGCCAGCGCCAGCCGACGGTGACCATTGTGACGCACATTGGACGGGGCGTGCGCCGCGCTCGCCCCCAGTGCGCCGCATTCGTGCTCAGCCGTCCGTGAAATCCCATTTGGCGCATTGTGCGAGCGGGAGACGCGTGCGGCGGCGCCGTTGAGAACAGGTGGAAAGGTTTCCCGGCGGTTGGGTCACAGCGCGCCGGCCAGCGGGCGGCCGCGGGCCGGGACGACAACCGAGGTCCTTCGACGGCCCGCCGACAACGTTGACAAATCGTGTTTTGTATTTTACACTCGCACAAGGTCACACGGGTCGCCTGTGCGACACTGTGCGAAATTTGCTCTCAACGAGAATAAAGTGAGTCGGTGACAAACACAAATCGGCACCGAGCACCGTACCGGAACTTATGGCCATTTAGCACGGTATGTCAGTTGACCCGCGGACCATGTAAAAGGCACAGTGGGTGGCGACATTCCTTCTTCCACTGGTCGCTTGACGCTAGCACTGTCAGGGAGCCGACCAAGGTAACTAACGCCCCCCCCCCCCTCGATAACCCAGGAATTGAGCTGCTGCTCACACCTCGGTACATACCGAGAAACAATGGCGCGGCGTCTTTCGTGGGTGAAAACCGACAATTTTCTGGCTTTGAAAATTGCAGCATGCATTTGAAAAAAAAATGCATTTGCATTTGAGCCTGCAGTGAAGTATGCAAAAGTCAAATAAATATGTGACGCCTCAATCAAAAATGAATCTATCGGTGCTTTTGATAAAGCTATTTTAGATTTGCACCGAAAGAGTAGTACCTTGCTTGAAATAATCGTGCTTCTACCTCATGCTGCTTGTCACGGAAAATTTATGTTCTACCGTGGATCTGGTAAAGCACTATATGGCTCTGTCCACCACCGGTAAGCCACCAAGGCTTGTGGTAGGTTATCATCACTGTAAGACATCATGGAATGCCACCGATCAGGGTGCAGTCACATTGATCTGTAAAGAGCTGCTGACGGGCCCCGGCAGCTCTGTTTGCTATACACTTCGTGAGGCGTGTGACACATTCATGGCAGCTGGGACCTGACCGATAAACTGTGGCAAACGGTGGCGTGCAGATTTTTACCGTGAAACCCACCAAACCCACTCTTTCTCTTGATATGCAGACATTAAAAATCCGACAAATAGTTGCGAAAAGGAAATCGAAAGTCAGGAGCCATTCAATGCATAACGCCTTAATTCCGCTGCATGTTGCTCCACTACGTCACCACACGGCAGTTTGTTGGTAGCTCAGTCCTCCGCCCGTCTGTGACCACTGCACGTGTAGCTGACCACGTGTGCTGCGCCACCACCCGGTGCGGCAGGCGGGCCCTTTGTGCGCCCGCCGGTGTGACGGCCTCCCTTCCCCGGAGCAAGCCGGTCAGCTCTCGCGTCACGGCCCGTGACGACCGTCACCGCGGCGGGAGGGGAGCGTCACGGCCCGGCGCCCGGGCCGGTGAATCGGGCCACCCGGCGCCGCCAGACGGGCGGGAGCGCGGGACAATTACCCACTGCCCACCGCCGCGGGCCCACGATACAGGCCAGTGATAGAGTCGCTGCGCCAGTCACACCGGGAGCCATCACTGCCATCAAAACCATCAACACCAGCTCCATGGTCAACCCTGGCCGTCAGCCGGCAACAGCCCGACGTTGTTTGACGAAGACCGTCTCAATTCAGTGCCGTAAAACACGGCGTGGTCAATTAGTCAGCGACAGCGCTGTCAGATTTCTGAATAAGATTTCAATACTCCGATCATCTCATGACTGATGGCATGTTGTGAACCGAGACGCATGTAAGCCACCGCGAGGAAAAATAGGCCACACCACGGGAAGGAAACGCTCTAAGCACTGTATACCACACGCAACTCAAGTTGGGCGCCAGTAGTTCGGTCAGGGTCTCTCTTACACCCCGAGGGCAGGACTGGGAACAGAGACGGGCGCGGGACCCTCAGGGATCGCTAGGCCGCACGGTAGGCGATCGGGCCGGTCTAGCCTCGCGAAACCTCAAAGACACTTTTTTTCCGAAAATTGGAAAACAACGCATACTAGTCGACAGAAAATTCATCAAAGATTACGATTAGTGCATTTGCATGGCTCAGGAGACATTTTTTCGTAGACAAAAGTATCGTTAAAGACAGCGTTCCGTAACACTTCATAAGGGGGATAATCACAGCCGATTTTTACGCTCTTTGAATATTTTGCGGAACGATGAAATTGCTAGGTGTTGAGCATCCATTTTGCATGGAAAGTGAAACTTAGATGTTTAGACGATTCCGCCATAGAAAGCAAGTAGACAAAATCAGTTCAAAATGTCATATAATTAGGTTAACTTTTTATATTTTTTTTCTACCACTGAACATTACGTTCAATGAATTAACCAAGCCCAGCAAAAAAAGTTTTACGAGGATGAACTGTAAATGATGCCGTATCGCATGCAATAGGACACTATCTATTAGGGGAGCCAGTGAAAATTTGCAGCCACTTGCAGCCCTGGCATCCAGACACTTTTTTCTTCTAAGGGTTGGCCGTGGCTTGGTGCACTTGAGCACAAGTGGTAAATGCCCCAAAGGGTGTTTTCGAGATAGCTCAAAACACCCAGGCAATAGAGAGCTACAACCTGGCATACCTCACCTTTGATGCACGCTGGATCTTGTGACACCAATTGCACTTTCAAGTCAGGTCAGGTCACTGACCTATGACGTCATACATGAACCTCTGCACGATCCTCAGATGTCGCAACCTTTCAACGCTCTCAGTGCCAGAGTAGGGGAGAGTGGGGTGGGTTGTATCAGTTTTTACTCCGAGACCCATAACCTCGTAACTATCCGTGATAAACTCATTATTTCCATACTATCCCCTTCCTTGATTCTTCTGCTTTTTTGTGCAAAGTAACTTTTCCGCAACCTCTACCAGTTTTTCTTCTACGGTCTGCCGAATAGAACAATGTTTTTGATACAACTTGCCCCATGGCTTGGATGAGTTGTATCACATGGTGGGGTAATTTGTATCACTATTTCACGTTTCAGGGAGTGTGCTTGCTACTGGTTTTGAACATAACAACAACATTAAATGGGGTTAATACAATGCATAGGTATGCTCAAAGGCTTCACTTTATTAGACCAAACTTAGGTCAATGCAGTCCGAACGAAACATTAACCCGCGCCCCACTGGGGTCTGCGTATAACACGCCCTACTGGGGGGGGGGGGCTATTCATAGCCCCCCTCCTAACTCCGAAACTACTGGGCCGATCGTCAAAATTCAAACGGCGTCTGATAGCCCCGGAAAAACTGTCGAGCGAAACCTAATTTCATTGACCTCGAGGTCACCGATGACGTCACAGGTCAGGTCAAAGTAAAAATTATTAGCATTTTGGCTTGTTCACGTTTTGGGCTCTGACCGCCGTCTTACAAGTCAGATCAGGCTCATTTTTGGTTCACACACTCGTGAACAGATGATCTAGATACCCTGAGGGTACCAAACTTGTACTTTGATTTTCAGGTCAAGGTCAGGTCATCACAGGTCACGAAAATATTATATCATGCGTCGGTCACGTGACACATGTTTTATGGTCCATTTAGGCCAAATATTTCGAATTTGATGTCGTCTGTGTCATTCGAGGTCATTTTGAGTCGAATTTAGCTTAGGTCAGGTCACTTTCAGGTCAAAAAAGGTCAAATTTTGAAGTTATAATTTTTCAACAGAAAAGGTTTCTGTTAGATGCAGTTTGAGCTCAGGAACACGATGGTGCTATTTATATTGGCATACGATGTCAAATACGTGGTGAAAAATTGATTTGAAAAATTAATAATTGTGAATTTTTTGCAATAATGCGTATAACTTGGCCATTTTTGAAGATATTTAGCTAAAACTTGCTAGAGTTATTCATAATAACGCGTTCTATCACATATATTCCGGTTTTTTCGAAAAGTCAAAAACTTTTTGAAAAAATGTAAAAATGTAAATTTTGAATTTTATTATATAAAATTTTCAAAATTTTCAAAATTTCGAAAATCCGAGATAGCAGTTTGATAGCGCAGTCTATTCTGAGTCCTCTCATGCAAAGAAATTGGATCTAGCTTAAAAACTGAGCCCTTGGGAGCGATTGCCGTGGTTCAATGTTTTGCGTCGAAATCGGCCGAACATGACGTCACTCTGACGTCATTTCTGGCCGACCTATGGTAGCTACGAAGTTCAAATTTTGACACAAGGTGTCAAATTGATGCAGCCGAAGGTACTGAAACTTTGGCGTCGATACGTCAAGCGGTTTGGAAGTTATTGCAGAAAAACGGGAGGGGGGCTATAAATAGCCCCCCCAGTGGGGCGCGGGTTAACAGACTAGACGCAAAAGTGGCCCGTTAAGAGCAAAGAAGCCAACACATTGTGCCGAAATGGAACGAGCATTGACTAGCTACCTACAAACGCGAGCCAGGGCTTAGCTTTCGCGATCAAAAGCAACATACCCATACATACATACATACATACATACATGTTACAACATACCCCACCCGGCTCTGATACAACATGTACCTAGCCGCCATCTTGGAAACAACATCCTCGTGCTCAAAAAACAGCGGACAGCTGGAGAAATCCGTTTTCACTCACGCAGCCTTAGAACCTACCCTCACCAACGCTACGGAGATCTTTCAAATTCGTGCACATATAAATGCCCAAAACACACATTTTCTTGCAACTTATTTTTTTAGAATGACATTAAAAAAACATAAAATCGGCTCTCACCTCGAGACGCGTCCACTCAGCCACAAGACAGAACAGGGAAAGATGGCGCCCGGAAAACCTCGTCGGCTGGTCGTGTCGCGAGCGCCATCCATTGGATAAGTTTGGCACAATTCGCCCTGATACAACTTGGACATGATACAACTCTCCCCGCTCTCCCCTAACTTTCACATGGAGGTGAGACTTACAGGACTTATTGTCCTTCAGAGGTCTTACAACTTGTATGTCTCAGATTTTTCCTAAATGTCACATTAAGTCAGGTTGGTCACGTGACCTCACCTATAAGTCAATGGGGAAATATGAAAACTGTTATTTTGAGGCCAGGAATGATATTCAACTGTCTCAAGTACATGGTATCGTTACTTCATGCACTCCTTGCAAGATCTGATGCTGCATTTTGCATTGTTGACCTTTCATGACGTCATTTATGACGTCACTAGGGTCATACGAGTTTTTCGTCAATAACTCCTGATCAAATTGAGCTAGAGAGTCGACAAGGTCACCGATGGACTCCGGAAGACCTGCCGAATCGAATGATATGCGATATGACCTCCTTCGACCAACTTCGTGATTTGAAGACCTCTGACCTGACCTTGACTCGAGGTCAAGGTCAGGTTGACCTTACGGTGACCTCACCTGAACAAAAGTAAACCATTCGACGCGCCTGAGCAAGGCGAACACGACAATGTCAAAATCGTGGTTCTGCGGCCATTTTTTGCGAAGTTATTTACCAAAAACCAAACCCGCTGCTTGGGTCACGTTATGAAATGGGGCCTTGCCGGGTGAGATTTACGCTGTTTCATGATATGTATAAATTGGTAGGGCATAATCGTTTGAATAAAAAAATTGGTTTGGAAGCAATTTTCTACGGAGGTACATACCATTCCAATGTCCTACCCAGCTCATACCGTCATAAATTTCGACCTACCCTCAAAAGAATTCATGCGTTATTCGAGCAGCAATTAGGCAAATTGCAAGCTCGCCACAGAGCACAAATCCTATAAGAGATAGTCCTTTTTTAAAACATATGCTCATTGGATATTCAAGAAGGTTGATCCTAAATATTGTGGTTCTAGCTTCAAAAACATGGATGTTATGAATGCCGATAGGTTTCGCGAGGCTACACCGGCCAGATCGCCCACTGTGGGCCGGGGGCGTCGGGCGCGGCCAGCAGGACAGTCAGCCGGCCGGCCGGCGCCCCCCCCCCCCACACAGCCCATGTCACACCGCTGATGGAGTGACTACCGACTCAGCCGCCGCCGCCGCCGCCCCGGGCGCGGCCAGTAGGTCAGTCAGCTCCGGCCGGCCGGCGCCCCCCCCCCCACACCCAGCCCATGTCACACCGCTGATAAAGTGACTACCGACTCAGCCGCCGCCGCCGCCGCCCCGGGCGCGGCCAGTAGGACAGTCAGCCGGCCGGCGCCCCACACACAACCCATGTCACACCGCTGATGGAGTGACTACCGACTCAGCCGCCGCCGCCCCCCCCCCCCCCCCGGGCGCGGCCAGTAGGACAGTCAGCCGGCCGGCGCCGCACTCACACACAGCCCATGTCACACCGCTGATGGAGCGACTACCGACTCAGCCGCCGCCGCCGCCGCCCCGGGCGCGGCCAGTAGGACAGTCAGCCGGCCGGCCGGCGCCCCCCCCCCCCCCCACACAGCCCATGTCACACCGCTGATGGAGTGACTACCGACTCAGCCGCCGCCGCCGCCGCCCCGGGCGCGGCCAATAGGACAGTCAGCCGGCCGGCCGGCGCCCCCCACACACACAGCCCATGTCACACCGCTGATGGAGCGACTACCGACTCAGCCGCCGCCGCCGCCGCCCCGGACGCGGCCAGTAGGACAGTCAGCCGGCCGGCCGGCGCCCCCCACACAACCCATGTGACACCGCTGATGGAGTGACTACCGACTCAGCCGCCGCCGCCGCCGCCCCGGGCGCGGCCAGTAGGACAGTCAGCCGGCCGGCGCCCCCCCCCCCCCCCACACAGCCCATGTGACACCGCTGATGGAGCGACTACCGACTCAGCCGCCGCCGCCGCCGCCCCGGGCGCGGCCAGTATAGGACAGTCAGCCGGCCGGCGCCCCACACACAGCCCATGTCACACCGCTGATGGAGCGACTACCGACTCAGCCGCCGCCGCCGCCGCCCCGGGCGCGGCCAGCAGGACAGACAGCCGGCCGGCGCCCCCCACATACAGCCCATGTCACACCGCTGATGGAGTGACTACCGACTCAGCCGCCGCCGCCGCCACCCCGGGCGCGGCCAGTAGGACAGTCAGCCGGCCGGCGCCCCCCACACACACAGCCCATGTCACACCGCTGATGGAGCGACTACCGACTCAGCCGCCGCCGCCGCCCCGGGCGCGCTCATTACTGTTCATTAATAAAGCCTAATTAATGTCCTCCTCGTCTGCCTATTGTTGGGCAGCTGCGGAATTTAGTATCGGCCTTCTGTTCTCTGTAATTACGGTGACGATAAACAGCGAACGATGGAGAGAGAGCAGGGGCTCCGATACACTCGTATATCGCCTCCGAGAGGACCGTTCCCACCCCGCCCGATCCACGCCGGCCCTCACCCATTCGACCGGTCGTAACCAACTCCAAAGCACCTTCCCAACTCCTTGAAACACCCTCACCGTGCTGAAGGAGCCCCGTCGCTGAGCGGCAGGGGGACGCCGCTAAGGTCATCCATCAAGACGGCAGCCAGGTGGGTATATCGGCCGGGCCGGGACGACGGGCCGACTGACGTCTTTTTGTTGGCGGGCGGGCCGGCGCGGTCGGCCCCAGTGAAAGCAGGGCCGGACGGGTCGGGGTGACTTGGTGCAGTTTACGTCATGTAGAGTGGTTCACCTCGTCAATCAGAGCCGCGAGTGGAGAAGCGCCGACTTGGAGTGCTCGGAAACCGGCGGAGTTTGTGAGGGATTTTGGATCTGAATCTGAAGGAAGGAGAGTGAATGTCCGGCGCCCTATTGGTTGTGGAAGGTTCGGAGCCATGCTACGGCATTTGTTGGAATGGAGTCAGGAATAAATAGCATTGCTAGCTCAAGTGTCAGTGCAAAAAGAAGACCAAAAGAGACAAGACATGGCGACGTCATTTCGAAAATTTTCTTGACCTGAACTTCGAAACAGCAACAGCACAACACAAGCAAGAGCCACATTTGGCCATCGATTCTACTCACTCGTGGCAGGACGTTGAAGACGAGGCTTCTAGGGTACCCTCGTCTGAAAGGTAGTGGACGGCCCTCCTCGTTCAGCCGTCACCTCGGCCCAGAGACGGCGGTCTGAGGAAACGTCCTCACCCGAGCGCCGTGACCACTGGAAGCGCTCGTCGCCGACGCCAGTCCCACTATCTCCTCCAGTTCCGGACCCTCGGACAGTAGAGGCGATGGCACAGCGCGCTAGGCGGCAAAATCGCCCCTATAGGCGCAACTCCGCAACAAGAGGACACTGACGCACGAGTCGGTCGCTGCGCGGGGACCACATCCTGGGCCGCTATCTGCAGCGGAGGGGCTGAAAACATGTCAGCCCGGACGGACGGCGCCTCGGCCCGCACCAGTGTCTCCCGGGCAGACACACTGGAAAAACAATTTGAACACCGTTAACTGGGTAAGTGGTTATTCTGCATACCGGAGTTTTTATATACCCAATAATGGGTGTTCAGGGAGCGTTTGACACCTTTAACCGTGTATGACAGGCTTCATGACACTGTAATAAGTGTCACAGTACACATTTAAAAGTGTCTGACACTCATCATACACTGCAAAAACACCCCATCCGTTTTTAACCCGCGAGTTGCTGGGGGGGGGGCGTTAAAGGCCCCCACTTTTTTCGCCGGGTCATGGCATAAAAACGGCGCGCCGCAGGCGCGCCAAATTTTGGGTACCTGTAGGGAATTGATTGAAGTTTATTGTGACAAAGTTTCAAAAAAATCGGTCGGAAAATTTTTGAGATATCGAGATTTTAGTGACGTCATGATTTCTGAGTTTTCGACCAAAAACGGCATATGCTCAAAAAATCATATAAAATCACAGGATAGATATACAGACATGCCGTAAACGCCATTAGACTGCCAATGCCATGAGCAATCTAATGGCTATCTTCGATTATTGATTATTGTTCCGCATTTTCCAAAATCTTGAACTGAATCTTGGCAATTTCTCGTGACTACCTCACGACCATGATACATGAATTTCTTAAATTGAACTTTTTGAGCCAAACTCGTATACATATGAGAAAAATAATGTCACCATCGTGTTCTACGCTCCAAATTACCCATAAAACATGTGTCACAGGCTGCGAATATCAGTTTTGATTTTCGGGGATATGTGCCTACCCGGTTGACCTGACCTTGGCCCTGACCTATGATTGACTGACCCCTACATGGAGCTGACACTCTTGTAAGCTTTATATGATGGATTGCGCACCGTTTTGACAGAGTTTATGACGAGAGGCGCCCATTGCGAAGTCCTGAAGTCCATGCTACTGAAAGCCCGATTTCCGGTGTTTGACCTGACCTTGACCTGACCTGTGACCTCAAAATTCAACTTTTAAGTACTCATCTGAAGCGTCTCGTCGCGCTCTTTCGTTTGCCGCCTCGTGCGTTTCGCTGCGCCTATTGGTTCTCGAGTTATCGGCTGGGGGCGTTTAACGCCCCCCCCCCCCAGCAAACGGTGGGTGGCGAAATACCCCAGCAACTGCCGGGTTAAATTTTCTCAGTGCAATATACGATAATACTAAACAATGTTTCATGGCGGCGACAACTGAGCTACATGCAAAACAGCTATCGCAACGCGACCCAAATCGTAGCCATTTGAGACTCAAGAAAGGCACGAAAACTCGCCAATTAGGACCTCAAATGCTTTCATTTTGACCGTCTACATCACAGAACGGATATTACACACAGGCAGGGTTGTATACGACTCAATCAATAGCAATCAATTCAATCACGACAAATTTGGGAAACCAATCAAATCAATCAAGTCAGAGCAGTTTTCGGGAATTGATTCAATCGACTCAAACGCGACAATGAAAGGAATCAATCAACTTAATCAAACGACTCAAACCAAGACATACATTAGGTTTTTGCCCCACCAACTTGGAAAAGTGTCCATAGCAGTCTGGTGTACCTACCTTCCTACCTACCTACCTACCTACCTACCTACCTATCTACCTACAGAAGAAACATAAACATATTGTCATTTAAAATTATAAATTGCCATGCCATTCAAAGTTTCTATGTAATAAGGAAGGATACCTAGTGATGGACAGGTGGATCATGATATTGAGGTTCAATGGGTAGAATTGGAGCAGAAGTTTCATTTAATGGGTGCAAAATAACCCAGTAGTTGACTCGCCCCTTAACCCAAATCACCACCTTTCACCTAAAAGTTGTCAATTTAATTTTGGCCATATTCCAACTCCATTTACACTAAATATCAGATATTGCAGTTGAAAGTTGGCTGCTCGGATTTTGGCAGTGTTCGTGATTTGGCCATTTACGCTACACCATGTCTATTTTAATGGATAATATGCATCAATAACATATTAACCATAGGGAAATAGAAATAAATATCGTACCTGCATGTGACGGTTTCGGTTAGACAGAGACTGACGGGCAGCCTGAAAAATCTTTCCACACAATGTGCATTTGAGACGTGGGATGTTGTCAGATTGGGAAGGAAGAGATTTGAAGTATTTAGCGGTCCACGACTCTGGACGGGGCATGTCAATGTTAGTTACTTATGTGAAGAATTCAAAACATTTTATTGCAATACAATTTGAAATTGTTAGGACTGGGGGATAGGGATGAGGATTAAAAATATATTTAAAGGAAATGGAGAGGACAGGGACTCTGGAACCACAGGATGTTTTGCCAATAAGTTTGCTAAGCTTTTATAAATCCTTATTCTACGTCTTTTGATTTTTTGGTAAGATGACGTCATTGATAATGATGTAGTATGGTAGATCATCATAAAATAAATCGGTTGTACAACACCAATTTCGTTTTAATTATTATTTCATTTGAAATAAAACCACTTAATAATATTCGGTAAAATATTTTAAGGAAAATGAAATATATTAAATAGGGGAGAGTGGGGTAAGATGCCCAGGGTGGGGAAGACGCCCCACACCCTCTAGCGGCGAAACAAAAAATCGGACCTGGAAATTAATGTTCTTAGCGTAAAGCGGAAGCCTGCCTTGTTAACTGCACAAAAAATTGCAAAGCTCAGTTGAGCAACGGCTGGCTGATGATAGCATGTTTTTTATTTGCTGCTTTCAAAAAAATATTTTGGTGTCAGAACATTGTAAATATCAAAGAAGGTAAATAATTTTTGCGTCCCTTACTATAGTCGTGATACATTAGCATGCGTGTACTGTGTCCCAAAAAGTTTGTTTCAGGGTGTAGTTTTATGGCTAACAAATTATACTGATTTAATGTTACTTCGGTACCTTGGGGTAAGATGCCCCCTGTCCTGATGGGGAAAGACGCCCCCCTAAATCCGTAGGCTGTCCTTCAAACAGCCCGTCAAATCATTTATTACATACTTGTGATGTAGACAAAAGCCGATCTTGGACTATTGAGAGTCCAGTACGGTCGGGTGCTCCCCATGCCGGTCTCTCGGCCCACATAGCGACTTTTTGGGCGGCATCTGACTCTGAGAGCCCTCACGACGGCCTCTGTGGGCCCCATTATTGGCTCCAGGGCCCCTCACGACATCCTTTGAGGGCTCCCACGTTGGGCCCACGGGCCGCGCTGGCATCGGAGGTCCCCACGATGGGCTCGAGGGCCCTCAAGCATCATGAAGACCTATAAGAGCCCCACAGTGGTCTCTGAACGCCACCACAGAGGCTTGTTTGGCCGTGCTGGACTATGATGGCCCTAACGATGACCTCTGAAGCCCCTTACGACTACTTTTTAGGGCCCTTATGATGACGTTTGGTGTCTACTGCAGGCTCGAAGGGACTACTGATTCGTTCAGGCGATTCACGTGCCCATTTATGTCACTTATAGTGCAGGGGGCATCTTTCCCAACGTCAGGGGGCGTCTTTCCCACCCTGTGGGGTAAGATGCCCCCTTTCACTTCTTCAGGAAAATGCTTAATAGCAAAAAAGGTTATAATATTTCAGGCACGAAAGTGTGATATTTTTGGAGAAAAATGATGTCGGCTTCCGTTGAAACTCCAAGTTTTTGCTTTCCCATCGTCATTTTCGAATAATATATGACATAGCAAAACCCTGGGCATCTTTCCCCACTCTCCCCTATGTTATGCTTAGGCTCTCAGGAGAAAAGGATCAACAAACGTTCTGCTGCAAATAAAACAATGCAGCAAATTAGCTATTGATTAGGAACGTAAACGTTATTAGCGAGACGAAAACGGCGCTTTTGTTTCAATTATTTTTGTAGGGGTTTCAGATATTTATAGAGTTCAAGTTCAGTGGGTTGTTTCTGTGGAGATGTGAATTATTAATTTATACACTTTATTAGTATATAGGGCCTTGCACTTTATCATCTGGCTTAAAAAAATAACGTTTCCTGCTGAGTGCAGAAAGGTAGGTAGGTGCATCGCCAGGCTCTATCACCAGGATTGGAGCAGTTATTGCAGTTGAAAGTCAAAGTTGCCTGTTCATGTTTAGGCCCTGTTCTTTATTTCAACTAGAATACAGGTTTACGCGATAACTGTATGTTTTGATATGTATGATTAACGGATGCATTAGTTGGGTGTAGAAACTTGCATTTTTATTGGTATTATTTGTGAAGAGCTGGGTAACTGCTTTTAATTGAACTGTAAAGTATGATGGTGATGCATGCGATGCAGCCGGTCTTGGGATGTAAACCAACAGTGAACAAAATTTGAGCGAAATCGGCCCAGCCGTTCTTTAGATGTAGAAGCGGACCCCTCACGTGTGCACGTGCAATCGATCCACCCTACCTGTTACAAATGGCCATACATCGCCAGGTTAATGCCCCTTCCACCCACAGTCCAAGTTTCAGCGCAATCGGCCCAGTAGTAGCTGAGTTATTCCTAGTACAATAATGCGCTGTTTATTGGTAGGCGCTTATTTTCAGTGTTTGGAATTCCCCTTTACGGGTGGTGCATTGCAGCCCATGCTTTGATAGCTATTGTCAAAAGTTAAATGACGTGCCGGCCATAAGCCATCGATCGGATTTCGTCGAAAATACCTGTAACGTTAACAAAACAGGGTCGTATGCTTGAGTCATTTTCAGAAAAGTTTATTGACTTTTTGATGATATTTTGGGTGGATATTGGTCAGAAAAGAATGCTCTTTCCGAATATGTAGGTTTCATAGCCAGCGATCAACG